TGCTCGAGATTGGGGGGGGTTAACAGTAATGCAGGCCTTTGAAATAGGCTGTGATTGCGCTTCAAAGAGCACAGTAAAATCCTGCCGTTTATTTAAAAATGTACGGTTCATTGAAACAAAATGCTCTAATTACTCAAATCTGAAATTTGAATAAGGCAAGTAGAGTTTAGTCATTCACTTCTAATAGCAGTTTGGAAATCAAGGCTAACTTTTGCTTCCTGTGTTGAAAAGCTACTGTAGAGCAAACCAGGTGTGAATTTAGAGCATGCCAGCTGCAGTGGCCTAGAGCCTTTATACTTCTGCTAAGAGCAGTTACAGGGCAATTTAGTTCAAAAGTTCTTTATGGAATAATAATCATGTCTAGGACGAAGTAGCTAGTGCTTACTAATTCTCACATGTAACAGTAATTCTCTTGGCTGAGCCGACATTTCTCAAGATTTACTGCTTTGGTTAAAATAAGCTGTACCTTTTAGAACAGAAAAGTGAGGAAGCGAGGTACCTGCTTTCAGGAGTCCTGTCCTTAACAAGTTGTGCTGGTCTCAAATATACTGAGAGGGGAGCAACTTCTCATGTATGAAGTTAGAAAAAAATGTCAAACTTCTAACAGAAATGTGTAGTCGAGGCGGATTATCAGAGATTTCTGAAATGTTCTCTCTGGAGAGAGAAACCAATTTTTATGAGCATTTCTCTGGGGTGTTTTTAGGGCTGCTTATGATACTTCTGCACCAAATGCAAAACGCAAATACCCAGATGAGGGAGAAGCTGATGAGGAAGAGATTGAAGAATATAAGGTAAGAAAAAGAGGAAAAAGTTACTTTTCCCTGGTGTTCGTGTGTCTCTGAGGGACTTACAAAATATGTGTGTGTGCATATAAATAAATGCAATGCGTGTAGATACTTTAAAATACATGTCCCTAAGTGGCATCTCCCTTGATATCTTCCACTGGGGAGGTCTAAGAGAGGGAGCACAGACACTAAGTGGTTCTCTTTGGACGTGGCTTAGGTACGTTGAACCGTATATGCACCAGAACCTGGTGTTTGGAGGCTTAATTTAGTGCTGTTCCTAGGAGGTAGTAGGCTTAGGTGATAGTGCCCACAGGGAATGGCAGCGTGCCATGGCTGGCTGTCTTGTGTGGGAAGGAGTGGTAAAACGTGTGTGTGCCTGGGTACACAAAAAAAAAAATCTGGACCAGAATTTCTTGGTGTCAGAAGAAACGCTTGCATTTAGCAAGAGGCACGGGCCATTGGATGAAACACAGGGAGGCCAAGGGTGTCGTCCAGCCTGGCTGCTGAGTGCAAAGGAATACGGTGCTGCATGACTGGAAGAAATAAGGGATTCTAAGGGAAAGGAAGTAAGGGGCTTGGTTTGGGGTATGCTTTAAGTATCCAAAATATCCAGGAAAAGTTCAGTTTAAAAAAATCCAAAAAACCCTGCCTCTGTGGTCATTGAAGAATGAGTGGTTGTCAAGCTGTCGTGCTCCTCATTTTTCAAATGCTCATCCAAGAGCTATTTGACAGCTTTCTTATTTCATACCCAATGTCATGTTTTGGCCAAGATGAGTGGTAGAGAAAGGAGGTTAAACAAAGGCATGATTACAATACAGCTGTCTTTCTGATTTGCTTTGTGATCTTGTTGCAGCATATATATTCCCTCTCCTTTTTTTTTTTTTTTTTTGGTCCTAATAACCGTGCTTCTGTGGGGAAGTAGAATCAAGGTTGGTGCATTTATGAAACAATGCAGTGTCTGCTGTTCTTTTGGATGCCTAAAAATAGTAATTGTTGAAATACGAGGCCTTGGTAGCATTACATTTGTGTTCAGGTTTATGAATATTTCTGTAATAATGTCTATTCTATCTTGCTAAAACAAAAAGTTCATGTGTGACAGGACATTTTTTGATTACTATTTTTTAAAGTCTATCTGTAAGTGGACAGAGATTCTTTTTAACACGCTGTTAGTCCGTACATCTTATTTAGCAAACCAGTCAAGTCACCATCTCAAAGAAGGGATTTACAGAGCGCATGCACTGTTTGTGAAGTGGGGTGTTTATGTTCACATTAGTGATCAGTTCATATCAGTTTATTTTACTCCTTCACCAATTATGTGAACAAAATTTTTTTCAGAGAAATGTGTGTGGATAGGTCACTTCATTTGGCAAAGCATGTGAATCTTATTATTAACATTTTCTTCTTGAGCATGGTGAAGACTTACCCTGAGGTGGGCTCTAACCGCTTGCAAGTGGCCAGACTCTTGCTATATTGCTGAAATTGAAGAATATTTTAATACTCGCTTGGACCACCTTCAGTTGAGCAGATGAATAGATTTAAGAAATGTGAAACTCCCGAGTAGAATATCTACAGTGGAGTCATCAGCTGTTTTCTGCAGACATCACTCATTTCCTATGGGCAAGGAGATAAGAACTTGCATAAATATAGATGAGATTTTACTAACTTTTTTCTTAGTACTTTGAGCCTCTTTAAATTGAGTCCTGTAATATGAACTGATACAAAAATCTAGATCCTTATGGTATCAAGCCCCATTGGATTGTGTTTAGTACTTGTTAGACAAAAGTAATAATAAACTATTAGTGTTGCAAACAAATACTGCAAGTTCGTCAGTTTTGTTAGGAAAACTAGAGGGAAGTATTTGTGATGTAAAGTGACTTGTATGTGTCTCAAACCCTGACTGGCAGTGTTGGGTTCTACGTGATGGTATCAATTAATCCTTCTGAAGTGGTTTAAAATATTTGTGCCCTGATTTCGGATTTGGTGGAAATGAGTGTGGCCTCAAACTTCAACTGCTCTAGCTGGAGCCTGAGCACCCAGCTGTAATTGCTGGCAAAGACGGGTTACTGTGAAGGTAGAACGTTGTTGTTACTGCGGTGCAGCGTGATGGCACAAGGTCTGCAGGGGTAGAGTGTGTGGATGTGGGCATGAAACCTGTAAACAAATGTAGCTGGGTATTTTAGAGAGAGGATTTCGGTCAGTTTCTAGCATTCCAAATGGAAAGTGAAGCAAGTTGATGACACCTAAATGCCTTGCGCTGGTGTTTTGAGAGAAGGCCAAGCAGTGACATTGACTTTTCCATTGTATGGGGGAAGCGTGAGAGCAGTTTTTGAGATGAAAGATGAAGTATGTTAATCTCTCGGCTACTTAGGAACATCTGATGCAAAAAAAGGCTATGGGTTTTTTTTTTATTCTTTTGTTTTGGGGTTTTGCGGGTTTTTTTTTGGTTTGGGTTTTTTTTATTGTAGAATAAGTGTAAATTTATAGTGATGGTTTTTAATAAGCATCAGGCTGATATGAAAATAAAAGGCAGTATGAAAATAAAGGGAAGCTTGTTAAGCTTCCCACTGGCAGCTTGACTTCTGTCTTGGAGCCTGACTACATTGCAAACCACAGAGCTGGGAGATATGGGAAGAGATGCGTTATTGGCAAAAATGAATAATGGGTATTTTAAGGTCAGAAAGTTGAATTGTGGTTCTAAAGAACTTCTACAATATTCCTGTTTTTGTGGAACTGTAACAGTTGTACTAGGGTTAGCTGAGCTCCCTGGTCTGTATTTGGAAGTGATAGATAAGGGGACTAGACTACCTGCTGCTGCGCCCAGGCTTTGCGTAGCCTGCTGAGAGTTGTGATTGTTGCTCTACCTCTCCCCTTTCCCAGGTGCATTTACTCAATTGTTTGAACCTGTATAAATGTCTGGTATCAACAGTGTTGTGTGGCAAAGAGTTCCGGAGTTTTAATTTTGTATGAAGTACAAAAATACCCGTGGTTCAAATTTGCTGTCAGCCAGCCTAATTTGATAGAGCCCAGTTTTGCCTTGTTTCTGTAAGCAGGAGCTTGTGAGCTTGGAATGCTTCCATGTCATTGTTCTGGAGGCTGAAGAAGTCTTACTTGGTTGAATCATGATAATTGTTTAATGCCTCTCTAGTCATTTGAGAAAAACTATACGCTTGAATATTGTGGGTAGTTTTTGTCGCCCTAACTCAGCAACAGTACACCAGATCTGGAAAACAAGGATGATCAATGTACAAGAACCAAGTGTTTTGTATTATTGTTAATTTCATTCTGTCTCTGCTTTAACTGTGTCCTCTTCCCTTTGAAAGTTGGTGGTGTGGGCTTTTTGTTTGTAGCTTTAAGACATTATTTTTTAAATCACTTATGAAGACATAAAGAAAACTGGTATGACTCAGAAGTAGCTACCTAAGAAGTGCTTATCATCAGAAGGCTAAGATTTAGAAATGGAAGAGGAGAAACAGGTGTAAGCTTATGATGGCATAAGCAGTTTTTAGTAAAATTCAAGCTTTCAGCTTCTATTTGCCTGAATAACGCTGCTGCTGCTTGTCTGCTGTTTATTCCTTTTCCTTGTCAACATTGTTGATGTTTCTGATAGTGATCTTTCTCTTTTTGGTCTGGCTAAACAAACAAACAAAAAGACACTATCTCTGTAAGTTCTTCACCTGAGTAATGGGGAGGGGGCATCTGTGACTTACTAATCACAGCAGGCATTTCAGAAGTTGGTTCAAAGCTCCCGTTTGGAAAGAACACAGAGCTTATTTTAAGATTTCAACAGCTAGAGGGATCAAAATAGGGAGAACGCGTAATTTTTCATTTGACAGTCAGATACCTTATGTAGCATGGTGTAGATGCAGCAGTACTCATAGCTTCTTCTCTGCATCTTTTGACTTAAAATGTGTGTTGGGGTTAGAAGTTGAGGGTTTTTTTCTATGAGAAATCTGGTTCTCCATCTTTCCTTTTATTTCAGTGTGTTAAAATGTCTTTTTTTTGTTTCAGTATTTCAGTCTTGAGACTGCTTTTCACATAAAGCACTGTATTAACTGATTAAGATTTCTTTTGTAGTCAGTAATGTATGAAAGAGCATATGCATCCTACTAAAATATGGTAGATGATATTATTTAATAGTTCTTCAGTTTTGTTTCTATAAATATATATACTGGATTGTTTCAGGGTCAGTGTGAAAACAGAAGGTGATGTGAAGGAGCAAGTCTCTTCTTTGTTTCTGTTCTCTCAGAGTTCTATGTTGGATGTTCAGGGTGTGTCAGTGTGACAGATCTCTGAACTCCAGAAATCTGATGAACAAGCAGTTGGTGACACACTAACTGGGGAAAAAAATTGCAATAAAATTCCTCTTCCCTGTAAATTTTGAGACTACAAAATGAGAATTTTAAAGTTACTCTTAAGGACAGTCCAAATGTGATACTGGCTTGTACCATGTGCTGCTTCTGCAAAGTGTGGACTTCAATAGATTTATATACAGAAGATGGTTTCAGCTGCTAGGGTTGGAACATAAGAGATAATTAAGTGGATATAAATGTGCAAAGGTTCTACTACAGAAGAACTTCAACAAAATATACCATTTGCTTTAGGAGTGAATTTTTGGGGGGACAAAAATTAGAAGTTCTACACCTTGTAAAGCACTGCCTATGCTGTCAGGGCCTAGAAAGGAAGGGTTTCTTATTTTATTCTTTCAGAGGCCTCTCCCAGTAACACTTTCCTCATTAATGAGAGACAGGCAGACCTTTTTGTTAATAATCAATTTCTTTTTCCCCCTCCAAAACTGGAGTTGGAACTATTCATGATCTGCTGTTTTAGGAGACTTCTGTTTGTCAACAGCCCACTTCTTCCCTTAAGAAGCAGAATCATAATGAGGAAACAGCATGATCTTGCATACTGCTTTATTTATATCTGCTTTATTTCCAAGGATGAAGTAGAGCTGCAGCAAGATGAAGAGAACCTGCCCTATGAAGAAGAGATTTACAAAGATTCCAGTACCTTTCTTAAGGTGAGCTGCTTTTGCAATTAGAAGTCTCGTCAAAGCTGGCATAGTTGTGTTAAACTATTTCTGCAATTGATGGTATTTTCAAATACTTCAGCTTTAGAGGCTGAAGCAATTGACTGGAATTCACAAGTACGGAAGAAGTTTCCTGTGAAAGGTACAACTGTAGCTAGTGTTTACATTGATCTGGCCAAAGATCTGGGTCAACTTACAATGAGCCATAGTAATGGTGGGCCTGATTTGGAACTAAAACCACAATGACGGTCTTGACTAGTGTAGCTTATAGAGGCATGTTGAAAAGCAAGAAAAAAATCTGTTACTTTCTCATTTATCAGACACATAGCGTGTGTGTGTTTAAGTCCAGTGATCTCCCTGTTGCTTTTGCTGACCTCCCTTTTGTTCTCCAGGGTACTCAGAGCTTAAATCCACACAACGATTACTGCCAGCACTTTGTGGATACAGGACACAGACCCCAGAACTTCATCAGAGATGTTGGTATGTCATAGTCAGTAATTTCATAGGATTTCTTCCTTCCTTAATTATTTGAAGATAACTCATTTTATTTGATAGCACTTCTTTTTCTTCCCCTTTTTAATTTCTTACAGTTATTGGGAAATGTAGATACACATATACTTCATAGTTTGTCTCTGTGTGGATACATATCAATATATACATTTATATGAATTATTTTACTTTTAATCAGTTAGGAGGTGATTATTACCAAGGCTTTTCATGGATTTATTTGAAAATATTTAACCAGGAAGATTTTTTCCAAAACTAAGCTCTTTTGGTTCCAGGAAGTAGGTGAGTCTAGTGAGCAGATCTCGAAACCTTTAGGAGTGTGAATAACTGACTTACAGTTCAGCTGTTTCCTGGACTGTATTGCCTCCAAGAACACATATAAAGTATGGAAAATACTTAAATATAAGTCAGTAAACAATACAGCTAACATTTACCAGCTAAATTGGTAAATGTATCTGTTGGCTACTCACTAGAGAGCCCGACATATTCTTGAGTTGGAGGATGTTATTTTTTAAGTTTACGTTCATCCAGCCATCGCTGAACTTGTTATTGAAATCTTACTTGAAATCTTACTTTACTAGGCCTGAATTTAATCTTTCTAAAACTTAGGTACAGTTTATTCCTGTTTGCCAGAATGAGTGCCTGGTAGTTATTTGTTTTTTAAAAAAGCAAGATGCCTCCCTCTGCCGTTTTCTGCAACAGTTCTCTGTATTTTATCAAGTTTAAGATTGTCAATACAAGCGTGTTGTGTATATGCCAGATGCCAGCCCCAAGAGGTTTGTTTTGCCTGTTGAGGCAGTTTGTTTCTTTTCTATATTTTGTGAATGCTTCTGTGAAACACATCTGGATGTTTAATATGAAAAATGGGCTGGTTGACTCAGTTATGTCTCTATCTGAAAAACATCTGGGCCTCACAGTTATGTACTTGAAATAGTTATACGCTGTTCTTTGAAGTAAGATGAGTACAAAGAAGTAGCAGCCCATGTTATTTACTCGGACTTCTCTGCTGCTTAAAGAGTTGGGAAGGACAGAACAAGTTGTTATAGGAGTGTTAATACGGAGATGAACGTGTCAGCAGCAGTTAGTCTAGTCTAACTTTACTAGAGACGAGGTATGTCAGGTTGCATATTGATTAGCATACATTTTCTACGCGAAGGTCAAGACTCTGCTTAGGTGCTACTTCGTAACTGGACATGACCCTACAAAAAGCTGTAGGGAAGTTGTGGCACCAGAACACCCAGTTATATCTTTTTTGATGTTGCTGTTGGAAGACAGGGAGACACCTGTGGGGGTTTGGTTTGGTTTGGTTTTAGGGTTTGTGGTTTGTTGGGGTTTTTTGGTTTTTTTTTCTTGTTTAAGTAATCTTAATTGAAAATTATTTTACATCTGTTGCTTAGCTGCTCATAACTGGCTTCCATTTCTGCTGGTCAGGTGTATTTGACTTGCACTGGCTGGAAGCAACACAGCAGTGGAAATCAGAAGAACATGGTGTTTTTAAGATGTTATGTATTTAAGGAAAAGGGTTACAGTAACTTCTGCACGTTTTATGCACACGTAGTAAGAGATAATAAGGTTAGATACCAAGAACTTTGCTTTTACCGGTATGATGCTAGCACTGGGAGTTCAGAAGTTTGAATTAAAATAAGGAGAGGGATGAAGTGTTGTGGAGTTTGTTGCCCCCATGGATTAGAACCATTTAAAGTTGTAAACTTAAATGAACATGAAGCTTTGTAAATAATTCTTGCTAAAGTTGAACTGATACTGCCTGGGCAGTGGGAATGGCACCTTTTTGGTTTGTGCTGCCTCCAGCAATAGCAAACCCATACTGTTTCTACTTAGAGAGAAGTGGGGGGGTTGTAATATACAGAAAAGTTTGCTTGCTTTTTTTCTTTTTAAAAAAAGTTTGCTGCAGTAAACCTAATTAGGGTTCTCCCTTTTACATTCTGTGCATATGAAAGGTTTGAAAATTAACATCATAAAGCTAAGTCTAGGAATCCAATAAATAAATATACACATATTCAAACCTTCGTGACTGGCACCAGTGTACCAAATCTCGATATAAGGCTTGCCTAAGGGAACCAGTCACACCCCAGTTGCTGCCTTAGAAAGTCTTCAAAGGTTAAATAAATAAGCGTATTATGTAAATGAATGTTAATTAGATCTTAATATAAACTTATGGGTGGGGGGTAACAAAAAAGCTTTCATCATTCTGGCACTTGTAGTTTATATGAAAGATTGTTTCCTTTTGATAAAAGGAGTTGTGGACTCCTGATCACTCTAATACTCTAGAGGAGATTAGAGCATAGACACTACATTTAGTAACAGCCATAATTAACTGGGTGAAGGAAGGAGGCTTTTGTGAAGTACTGAAAAAAAACCTGCTTTGAAGGGGTTGGCTTGTTCTAATAAAAAATAAAATGAGGCTAAGTATTAACATTTGGACCTATTCAGAATACTGGACAATGCTTAATTGATACAGATTTACTCTCTTAAGTAGTTGTTAACTTCATGTTTTCTTCTTCTTAGGCTTAGCAGATAGGTTTGAAGAATATCCAAAACTTAGAGAGCTCATCAGATTGAAGGATGAGCTGATATCTAAATCTAACACTCCTCCCATGTAAGTGTTCTTGCGGAAAATGCCTTTCTTCTCCAGACCTGTTTGAAGTTAGCTGTCTGCTTTGCAAATCTCTATCTTCAGCACCTGCTCAGAATTTACATTTTCTATTTCTGCTTGTATATACAAATTAATCGACTGAAACTTCAGAAGAATAAAATCAGTTTGTTTTTGTTAGGTTAATCTAGATGTTTAACATAGTATATAAACTAGATTTTCTTTCCAGTGTGTGATTATTTATAGTATCTAAAGTTTTGGTTTTCAAGACCAAACTGTCAACTGATTGGGCTGTAAGCTTTAACTTGGGAATTAAAAGAACATCAGATTACTGTGAATCTCATGCTATCATGCAGTTTACAATAACAAGAAAAGCTTTAAAAAATTGGCCTCTTCATATAACCTTGGTTGTTCTTGCAACAGCTTTTTTTGTCTAATGTTCAGCTATTATCTTAGTATCCATTAATCAGATGTTACTTTATAGTTTAAGATCAAAAAAAAAAGTTCAGGCTGGCTGGAAGTGATTAGTCCTGTTAACTTTGAATTACCTCCGAGTTTTTGCTGAACGTTAGACACGGTATAAGCATGCAGCATGTTACGCCCAGGAATTTGAACCTGTCAGAATATGAACCTAATGCTTTTAATATACTGTAGTCCTAATCTGTACCAAGTAAAACAGCATTATTTCATGAATGTCACATGAAAAATTCTGAAATAGTTGTCAGAACAATTGAGATGCAAACTGCAAAACTTGACTAGCTATTTTGAAGTTAGATGTGTTTTGGCATTCTTAGCCTTAAGCACAAAAGGGGGGAAAAATAGCAATTAAACGCTGCCTTCGATAACACCAAATCCACTTACCAGATATCTCTTCCAGATACTTTTCTTAGGAAGGGGGAGGTGGTGGTCTGCTAATCGGCTTTTTTAAGATTAAAGGTACTGAGGGGAGGACAGTGTAGTTTTTTGGATAGTGGTACAGCAGTGAGTGCTGGGCAGGTGTGGAGGCCAGTCATAAGAGTGCATTTGAGTGTGTATTTAATAAAATCAGTGTGGGGGAGAATTAGGCTTTTGTTGTAGGGGTAGAGAAATACTTTTCTACTGTATGAAAAGTAACCCCACTTCCAGTATTCAGAATCCTCTGCACATAACATACAATAAATGACAATTCTAAAATATGCCACTTTCCCTAACTGAAGCAAAATAGAAGTCTGTTAGCCAGGCAGTGAATATTTGCTTCTTAAATGTTGATGTTTCCTCCTATATATAGTCCATGGAGGTCCAGAAAGTTCAGTGATTCTGTACTAGATATTGTTGTACAGTCTGTGTGGGCATCTGTTTCCTGCTTGCTAAATTAGAATCCTAAAAACTGTTTATTCAGAGGAAGACTACTTTTTAAAAAAAAAAACTAATGCAACAGCATCCAGCCTAGGATAAGTGAGAATTTTTATGGATCTTCTCTGGATTTAGTACATTTGAGCTATATGAATTACACAGGAGACCTACTCTGAACTGGCTACACAGAAGTGCTGTGTGGAGTATAATTTTCAAACCACTGCTGTAACTTGTCCAAACAATCTATCATCTTTTGTTTAAACAGGTACTTACAAGCAGACTTGGAAGCTTTTGATATTAGGGAACTGAAGTCCAAATTCGATGTCATTCTCCTGGAACCACCACTGGAAGAATACTACCGAGAGACTGGCATTACTGCCAATGAAAAATGCTGGACCTGGGACGATGTAAGTATTGTTCTTGCTGTACTAAGGATTTAATACATGTATTTAAACAAATAGTTTGAGGATTTAATTTGGTATCAAAATGTTTGAGAGAAGTGTTTTGAGGAAAAATAGGATATGGTTTTTTGTTTTGTGTTTTAAAGAAAAGTTATCTTTTTGTAAAAACTTTTATATTGTGTGCATGCCTACACTATTGCTGTTAAAAGACTCTGTGATTAAGTAGTTTAATGAATTAAATACACCTTTTTGTTTTCCTTGAGCCTGGTTGAAAATTTAAATCTTAATAACAGTGGGTTTTCTCCCTACCCTCAAATCCATGAGAAAACTCATTCCATGGGTTTTCCTTTCTGTTTGGTTTTTGCGGTTGAAATTCAGAATATCCGTTGTAAATGTTCCCTTGTTTCTTGAAATTCTCAAAGAGATATTTAAGGTACGCTTTTTAGTATGCTGGTCTCCTACTCGGGAACAGATGAGTATGCTTCACTGCCATACCCCTTTTCTCCAAAGTATTGACTGGGTAGGAAATATTAACAATCAGACCAATTGTAATCCCAAGAAGCCTAACAAAATAGATAAACCTTGCCTGTGGCTTTTTTTCCTTGTATTTATGTATTCCCTTACTGTTCAGTCATAGAATTGTTTAGGTTCAGTCAGCTCTGGAAAAGCAAGGTGAGGGCTGGAGGCTATGAAGTGCTGGATGTCATCAAGCGTAACAACTCGATGACACAAAGCCTGCTGCCAAGTTGCCCTGTCCTTTGATTGAACCGGAGAATTCCTTGGGCATTGAATAAAAAATTTGCAATGCTAACGTAAAATAGCAATAAATTGGCTCTACTCTATGTATCTACACTTTACTCATTTAAAAAAAACCCAAACAACAAGCCCGCAAAAAACCACACAAACAAAAAAAAACCCACACAACCCCACACCCACAAGAAAACAGTCTGTAGTTGAGAGGAAGAGCTGGTTAAAAAAATGTTTGCATATGCATGTCAGGAATTCTTGGGTTCAGACATATGGTGGGAATATGCAACTAATAAGTAGCTATTATTTAGAGACCCTGTTTGAAAGGTATGCAGGACCATGCCTGCATGAGCAGCAAATTTGTCATAATACGAGCAAATGGGTAGATTGAAGCAGATGTTGCTGAGGTTTTTCCTCTCTGTGTTCTGTGCAGTTTGGGGGAGGGGGACGATGATGTTACTTTAAACTAGATTTAGTTTGAATTTGAAAACAAAGGCATTCATGCCTGTGATAAGAGACTAGGTGACTGCCTTTATGGAAGAGGTAGCTTCTGCGTTAGCTGTACCGTTGCATCAGGCAAAAATGGTGCCTGGCAATGTTGCCTGGGGAAAAACCATTCTGTCCTGACAGAAAAACTGGAAGTGTTGGAGGCAGGAGTCATCCTCTTAGTTGGGAGTTATATCCTCTTAGAATGGCTTCTACTGCATTATTTTTCTTCACAGTGGCACTGAATGAAGCTTGATTTGATGTGTTAGCAAGTTACAGATGAATCTTTTCAATTTGTAATGAGTAACAGATGCTTTGCATCTGAAGTTATTTCATCCTGAATGTTACTCATCTGTCATTGTTGAACAACTGTCCTGATAAATTCTTCCTGCTTTTTTCCTGAAAGTGAAAATGGAGAGACTGTCTTTCCTATATAGTAATAGGAATTAAGCTGGTTTTTTGTCTTTTGTTTTTTGGTTTTTTTTTTTTTCATTACGTATCTTCACAAGTTTCACATAAAGTAACTCCAGGGCTGAAAAGAAACAGAACACTATTGCTCTGTTATTAAATCTTTTTGCTACTAATTGAATGATAAAATGAAGCAGAGGTTTAGGAGGAAGAAAAAAATGTCATGTGGATTGTATTAGTCTTCTAAGTCTACAATTTTCTATACAGATACAATTTCTGTTAAAAAGAATAATTAAGATGGTAATCAGCTATGTTGAAAACACACAGTTGGATACTGACAAGGTAACTTTTACAACATACTTTCTGGAAAACAATTTTAAGAGGATGGCTGGGAATGGTCTACAGGCTAACATCTCTAATAAAAGTGCTTCCTGATGGTTTCTGTGATAATGCTTCAATGCTTATTAAGTATTCTTCCTGATATAATTGGTGATTTATATTTAATTCAGAAACACTTTTATTACCGTTATTATTATTAGATCATGAAATTGGAAATTGAAGAAATTGCAGCCCCAAGGTCATTTGTGTTTCTGTGGTGCGGTTCAGGCGAGGGTCTGGATCTTGGCCGAGTGGTAAGATGATGTTTTAATTCAATTTATCAGGGACAGGCTTAAGAGTTTATTTTTATCGTTGACTTTTTCTGTATAGAATTCTCAACTGTAACTGCTGAGAGGTGTTTTGTTACTGTGGTATAGGATACATAATTTTAAGTGGATTAAATAAATTTAAGTGTATCTGGTGTTAACTATTTAGATACTGTTGTTTTCCAGATGACTCGCTGTGGCTGTGTGAGGAAGCATAATTCTATAGGGTCTAGAAAGCTGTACTGCTGTCTTGTTTTTAATGTATGCATGTTGCCATAGGAGCAGGTTGCCATGTTGAGTGCATTTACAACATTTTTTTAACAGCAGTCTTAATAGTTTTCTGCCAGAAAAATTCATGGTATTAGAAAGGTGCTACTGTTCCATAAAGTGGTATAAAATTGTGTGCGGGGCACTGCTTATTTTCAGAAAACACCTGGATTTTAAGTGGGTTTACTGTCAGTGAGCTCTACAAAGTTTTACTTCCCTATAGGATCTGGGGTTTTTAGACTTGACTTTCTGTATGCCAAGGTAGCACTACTTGTGTTGGGGATGGTGGAATAAGAATTTCCAGTTGGCTCTTGCTCTGCTGAAACATTCTTTGCTTAGTTTGGGCGGTGCTTTCTGTTAAAACAATACGGCATTTGCTAAAGAACCACATGTGGTTACTAAGCTGTTTGCTTTTTCATTCTGAGGTTGGTTGAAGTGGCTATTTCAGCTAGATTGATTTTGGTTGCTGGCATATTTGTCGTAGCTGGACAGTTCTTGAACACGGCAATAACCAAATGAGCTTGAGTCCTTAATGCCCAATTTCCTCCCTTTCCAAGACTACGCTCACAGGAGTTAAGGATTAAAACATCATGTAAGGGTGGTGGGTTGGTTTTTTTTTTCGGGGGGTGGGAGGGGAGGGCGTTACAGGTGTGGGAAAAGCCAGAAAATGGTAGCAAAGGCTTTTGGCTATTTGTCTTCTCATTTATAGAATTTTACATTGATGTGAGAGAGGGCCAAGGCCACTGATCACTATGTTGTTCAGACTGGTTTTGACTAAATTTAAGTGTTGCTCAGTAAAAATGAGTGCAGAGTTCCATAGGGGATCTCTGTCGTGGTTAGATATTAGTAAACAAGTTTGTGGTTTGTTTTTTTTTTTTTTTTGGGCAGCTTGACAAAACAGTACAGTCATGCCGGTAAACTGTTTCATTCATCTGTGACAAATTTCTTTTCCAGTTACGCTTTACAAAAAGTCATGTACCTATATGAGTGTTCAGTTTAGGTCACCTAAGTTGTTGGTGTAGTGTGAACTGTTTTATCTGTCTATAATATTTAGTGTCTACGCAAATGGGGTTACAGAAGATGTGAGGACATTTGCTGGATTAAAACGAATAAGAACAATCCTGGAAAGACCAAGACTCTCGACCCTAAGGCTGTTTTCCAAAGAACCAAGGTAAAAGTTTGGCTCAATTTCTCCTCTGTTCCCACCCTGGCTCCTCATCCTGATGAAACACCCGGTGCTTCGCGGCAGTCGGTGACGTGCTTTGAGGAGAGCAGACAGGAGGACTTCAGAGTTCTGTTCTACAAAGTACATTACGTGGAAATAAACATATTCATAGGATGAATGATGAACTTCTGTCCCCTTCTTGACTTCAGGCAGCGTGAGGTATAGAAGTTTCGTTACATTTAGTGCTGCTTGGTACATTTCTATTACAGTCCTCTAAATGTGACGCTCATTTGAGCCTTGTTGAAATGCAGGTAGCTGAGGAGGGTTCATAGATTGATGGAACAAGAATGAAATCCTGAGAGGGAAGATGGAAACTGAATAGAAAATGTTACTGTATGTTGGGATGGTTTTGATTTGGGGGTTGTTTTGGTTATGGGTGAATTGCTAATTGCTAATCTATTGCTAATAGACTAACCACCTGTTTATTTACCAATTAGCAATACCTTTTGTGTAAAAACACAAGCTCCTTTCCAGGCTAGAGGAGAAAACCTGCTGGCAGAGGAACACATTTTGAATGGAACTAAACTTAGCAGTGATTTAAAGTCAAAAGAAGTCTTCAAATTAACTCTATCCCAGCTGAAACCAGGACAACTGTAGATTATAAATGGATGTAGTCATAAAAAATAACTCTGGAAGACAGGCTAATGGTTCTAAATATACATGTGCAGGTATGTGTGCAGAGCACGAACCAGATAGGGGGGCTGTTGGGGAGCACAGACAGGCAGCATCTCCTGCCTTCCTGAAGGCGACTGTAATGCACAAGTGACAGAATTGGTCAGCTTGGTTTAAATTAAACAGGTTCTTAGGGATGTGTGGTGGAGGACGTGTATTGAAGAAGGCACAGAGGGAAAAAAAAAAAGTCTTGATTTAAGACTCCAATGTATGTTATTCAAAACCTTAGACAAATGTAGATAGGATTAATAAGGTATTGTTTTGGGTGTATGTGTGTGTAACTGTGGCAGTTTTACTGAATACACATTGTTGGCTGACAATAATTTAAAGTGTCATTAACCTCAGGACTCATTCCCCATTCATTAATCATTCGTTAGTATTAAACATCTTCAACTCTGTCTCAGATTTACCATTTTTTAGGAGTATAAACTTCTGTTTAAAGTATCTGGAATCTTTCTTTGATTTGCATTTACATTAATCTGAGGTTTGTTTTATTAGTTATAAATATAAGTATGAATTTTGTATGTTTATTGCAACTATGTGCAGCTCGCTCATGAGGGAGAGGCTAAAACTAACACAGGAGGGTTTGTGGAGGGACTTCATGTCTTTGTTTAACAGAGGAGAATAGTTTCCTGTATTAGAGAATTTCTCTGTTTATTGATCAAGGGTTGGGCTGAGGTCACTGTTTAAGCTACCTCAATTTTCAATGTTTGTTATATTCTGACTGAATAAGTAGTCTGTTGTGCAAGATGTATTTACCAATGATTCCAAGAGCAAATGCTATCCTGTTACGTTTAGTTTAGGACCGCTTTATGCTGTGCCACCTGCTGTATTATCGAAGGTTAAGGTATAACGAATGATGTTCCATGTCTTACGAAAATAAAATGTTTTGGATAGTTCTTCTAAAGCCTAGATTTACCAGGTTTTGCTTGATGGGTAGTTTGCTTAGCAGTATCGTGCCTTTTTATTTAGTTAAATATACAGTCCAACCCCCCTGTAGCTTGGGTGCAGTTGATCAGCTGCGTAGATTTGATAGGTCACCTATTCTGCCTTTCGTATTTATTCACTAACTCTTAAAATCCTTGCCAAAAATCTGGAAATGATTAGATACTCTTGTCTGCAAGTTTTTTTTAGAGCCATCTGGTGGCGCTTAGTAAATCAGCGTTTTATGATACTGGGGAAAATTGCTCATCTGAGCTTAATATCCCCAGAAACAGAACTCTGAAATGAATATGTAGAACCCTCTTTTCATCCTGTACCAAGTATGGTGATTCCTCATTCATAGATTCTACATACTAGTCACTTAAATTGATCTGTAATGTTTTAGAGGAAAGGAAAGCAATGCTGTTACACTTAAAGAACATTTCTAAAGCTGATGGAGTTGACTGAGAGTGCATTGACAGTGGTTTTACTTTTTTGATGCAGTGATATCTTCTAAAAAGGGTGAAGGCTACTCTGGTAACAGGTACAATATGAAAAAGCGCATCTTGTTTTCACTGACTGGCTGTTTTATGGCTGTTTTATGACTAAGAACTTTGAAAATTATTTGGAAGAATAAAGTTAGGATCAGAATCCTGATACAAGTATTAATCATAATTAATAACTGTTCCCTTACTTTTGCCACCACCTTGTACTGTCTTCCCTCGTGTTGATTTCCCAGGCTTTCCAGCTTAAAGCTGTAACTTTTCTGTAACTGACGAAGTTCAGCCATCTTACCTCAGCCTCTGTTGGAGTTCTACCACTTCGTAGTGTAGTTCATCAAGCCAGGTAGCTTAAACTACTCTCTGCTTTGCTTTCAGAAGGCTCTTTTGGTAGCTCCAGCTTGCTCTGCTCTTCTAGTTCATGCTTCAGGCTTTTTTCTGGGTAAGAGTAGGAGCTACTCTGCCTAGAATTTCCTTTTCCCTCTGTTGTGCTCAAACCACGGATTTCTGTGCTCTAACAGTATGTGCGGCATCTGACAGGTACTCTTCTGTGTTCTGTGTGCGTAGGAGCACTGCCTCATGGGCATTAAAGGAACTGTGCGTCGCAGTACAGACGGTGACTTCATCCATGCTAATGTTGACATTGACCTGATCATCACAGAGGAGCCTGAAATTGGCAACATAGAAAAACCTGTAGAGATTTTTCACATCATTGAACATTTCTGCCTTGGGCGACGACGTCTTCATCTGTTCGGAAGGGACAGTACAATTCGACCAGGTAGCTGTTATGTTTATTTTTATCTAATAGTTAAATTTTAATTTACTTTTCATAACCCTCTTCCATCATTTGAGGCTACTTGATGCGTTATGATGGAAGCTGAGACAATAGCGGTTAATCCTAATGCATGATTCTCAAGGAGGTACGTTTCTGGTTTATGTGAAGATTTGTCAGTGTCAAAGCAGTTGTTGTTTGGCAAGTCTATGACAACTACCAATTCTGTTAATTTTCTCAGAAGAAAGTTTTTTGTTAACCAGTATTTTCACCTGTTGGTGTGTTTTACACTTCTCAGAAGCATGAATTCTTTCCCTATGTCCTGTTGCCAGTATGTGAAGACCCAGTATCTGACAGTGGGTGCTGCATCTAGCACTGAAAAATGCCTAGAAATATATGGATCAGATTGAAGGTAACTGCATTTGATTTGTTTCGATGGTCAGGCCTTTCAATTTATCATGCGTAAGTGACGAAGGACTTTCATTGCAGAACAATACAGACTAGAAAAATAAAATCTATTTTGACACATTTTAGACTTTTGTATCAGTTGTCAATGGCATTTCTGCATAAAGCCTAAGGTGAAATAAACCTTGAGAGTCCTGTTTCTTCCAACTGCCAATGCATGCTTGAATTGACAGACTTTATACCTCGTGTTACGGATGGCGTAGTCGTACTGTGCGTACTGATGGATACTGCGAGTGTCGGTCTCTGAGCAGTTCATGGTAACAGCATGCCCTTTTCAAAAGAAAGTGGTGGGGGAATGTGAGTGGGGCAAGGGCTGTAGCTGCGCTCGCTTTAGCTTCCTTCAGCGCTTTTGTGTAACGCTGTTTTCCCATAAGTAGGGATTAATAGTTTGGATGGCAGAGGAGAAATGGGTACAAGTCCGTCCAAGGCCTGGTCTGCTCTGTGTGAATGATAACACTTACGGTATTAAAAAGTGTTGCTTATTCTTTTGCTGCAATTGGAATAGGATGTCAAATGGTATGCAAGGTGCAAGCAATAAGTTACCTAAATAAATGTCAAGGTGGTGTTTCTCTCTTGCTCATACGACTACGGAGTAGTGATTATTGGCCATTCCTAGTCTTTGGCTGGCCTTTGGCTTGAATTTTAATGATCATGTCAGTCTTAATTCTGTTGGTTACCGGGATGTGTGTCTGTGTGGAGGGGGCTGTTCTGTTTTGTGGAAAGACATCATTCAGGTGTTAGGTCAATGCTGTTGTAGGTGAATTCTTATATGTTAATGTCCCACAGGGTCATGTTAGTCTGATTCAACTCTTGTATTTTTAAATTTGGTGGTTATCCTGGGATTGCATGGTGTACTTTCAATCCTGTACTCATCACAGCAGTAGGGACACCTTCTTTCATTTACTCTTTGTTCAAGAAGCTGGCAGGGCACCGTGTTTCTATCGATTAGCACTTCGAGTTTAGAGTTTAGAATTACTGTTTGTGAATCCTCACAGTGCTCTGTGAAGTAGAAAACCTAAACAAATAGACTCTTTCTTTTTTTTTTTTTTCTTTTTTCTTTCTTTTGTTTTTTAAATGTGGAGGAAGCAACGTAAATGTTACATAAATTCCCACGGTAAAGTAAACAGTGCTAAAGAACTGATCCCGGGTTATTTTGAATTCTTGTTTTCCTTATAAGCATGTTGTTGAGATCACTGAACTATGTTTTTCTTCATTAATACATGTTACAACTGAAAATTAAATTTCCACTGACATTTTTAAGTGGTCTGAGCCCCACTTTAGATCTGAGTGCTACTTTAGCTCATAATATGAAGAAATAGGAATGTGCTTGTTTGAAACGTCTTTCTGCCTTGATTCACTTGGTGAGGCTGAAGTGCCCACTGACTGTTTGTGCATAAACAGGCTAATTTAACTCTTCATGCTCTAGTTTCCTATAGTGGGCTTCAACAGAATTGTTACTGTATTGTGTGTTCAAATGTGTGCTTCCAGCGCGCTGTGCTCTTGGCTGCACTGTCACAGCTGGTGTCTGGAGACAAAATTACCTAATTCAAGTTCAAATGCGTTTTAAAAAGGGGAGAAGAGGAGGATGATGTTATTTTTAAACTAGATGAATTTACTGCTCTGGTTTACAGTTTGGTCCCAGAGGGGCTGGAAAACATTGTTGGGGTGTAAGAAGAATTAGGAAGGAGGAGGAAGGTGTCTTGTAAAACCACAGCTTGAATGTTGCCATGGATCTATGTAATAAAGGTGATCTTTTCATTCCATTCAGTACAGGTGACGTGTAGATACGTGTCTGTCCCAGTCACTTGAGCATTCACCTGCTAGGAAAAGGGTGGTAACGGCCTTGAAACATGACATTTGTTCTTGCTTTTGTTGACTCTGGTTTTGTTCCCTAGGTTGGCTGACTGTAGGACCCACTCTCACAAACAGCAATTTCAACGCAGAAACGTATTCTTCGTACTTCACAGCTCCAAACTCCCACCTGACCGGCTGTACCGAAGAGATTGAGAGACTTCGGCCCAAGTCACCACCACCCAAGTCCAAGTCTGACCGGGGAGGTGGTGCTCCCAGGGGAGGAGGAAGAGGAGGGACTTCAGCAGGCCGAGGAGAAAGGGGCAGAGAGAGGAACAGAACTAACTTCCGGGGTGAGAGGGGTGGCTTCAGAGGGGGACGTGGAGGTACCCACAGGGGAGGCTTCCCCACCCGCTGATGACTGTTAGGTAATCGCTTCTTCCCCCGGTCCTTTGCCTCATCTCTGAATCTCTTTCTTAGTCTTGTTCTTGCTGAAGTGAATTGTTCTGGGGCCTCACGCTAGATGACTTCTAAAATCGGTTTTGGCGCAAGCCGTTACGGATAGCCTGCCTTCCAGTGACCGGCCCAGGCCAGGCCCCGCACCTGACGGTACTAAAGTGGGCCTCCCGGCAGCTTCTGTTTGTCAAAGCAGAGCGCACCATCTCTTCAAACCACGGGTAGGATTGAAGATACTTGCTCTTCCCTCACGAAGCTTGCAAGGTGTGGGCTTTTTTTTAACTGTTGTTTTCTCCAAAACATGAATTCCTCTTCCTTCTTTGAAGGTTCAGGCTTGGACTGACTTAGAATTAATTGCGGTGGAGGGGGCATGAAATGCAGTTCTGAATTGCATGGCCATAGCAGGCGTACTCTTATTCATGGAAGGGAAAGCGCTGTGTCTATATTGACACCTATTTTAACTTCTCTGAAACTAAGGAGCAAATGGAATAAATAGAATTCTATTTTTTCTTATATTTGGTTTAAATTTCCCAAATTATTCCTGGGAACAGGGAACAAATTTGCTTTTCATTTGTGGTGTCTATGCACTCGCTTTTCATATCTGTAGTGGGGAGAGTGGTAATTCCATGCAGTTGTCACGAAGTCACACATTTATAGGCAGTCCAGAACTTCTACATATGGGGTTTTCCGCCCAGCGTCTGCTCATAACAAACAGCCTTGTTCCTTGGTAGGGAAAACCAGTGTTATTGCAGAGCAGTTGCAATGACCTCGCTGGAGGTGGCGTTGGAAATGTGAGGCGGTGTTGGAAGAGTGAGTGCTTCCCAAGACCTGGGTGCGGGAACGGAACAGAGTGGCTGGCTTTGCCTGTGGGCCTTACGCCTGTTGGGAACAGCGTTTCCTGTGGGTCGTCAGCTCCAGAGTACCGTGTGAAATGAAAGCCATTCACTTTGGTAGGTACCATATTTGTTTTTAGCAAAACCAGAACTCTGAACTTCTTGGTCAGTAATTGGTAGCCTGAACACGTCTGGCTGGCAAAGTCTCCAAGTTGTAGGTGTGGATTTTGGAAAATTGGCTTTTAAGTCTCACAATGTTTCTCTCCTGAAGCCTAGCTTTTAATAACTGTCCTGTAAAGTAGTGGATTATTAAACTTGTTTATCAAAGCTAATGTTGAAATATTTTTCTTAATATCGTGTGGGTTTGTTCTCCTTGAGGTTTTGGAATTGCTCGGTTTTACTGTGGTTTCCTCCCTACTGTTGTAAAAGAGGTGGCGTAACTGTTCTTTTGGTGTATGAAATCTTAGCACAGAAACTTTTGTAGGGTCTGGCTGGCTTTGGGGCCTCGGTAGCGTGCTTGGTAAGGGGCTGCTAAAGTGCCAATGACACTCGCCCACTGTTTGCATTTTGTTTCTTCCTGTGTTACATTCGTACATCTGAGGAGCGACTGGCTTGGGGGGGTTGGTGTTTTAAGGGTGGTGCTCAGTGGGCTGGCCACAAAGTCTGCCGAAGGCTACTTGGAACAGCATCCAGATAGGTAACGTGCCATAGTAATTACATGCCTAAGCATGTTCTTACTCAACAAGTAAATACTGGAGACATTTAACCTTAGGAAGGCTGCTTTTGTGCCTGTGACAAAAGGTATTTTTCTTTTTTTTTTCAATTAGTAGAAAATGTTAATTCCCATTTCCCCTTCTAATTGTATGTCTGTAGCTGACAGTTCAGGGCTTAAGCTACTCTTAACATAGAGGGTCAGAGTACGCCCAAGAGGAGACTCAAAGGGATTTTAAGACATTGGGCAACTGTAAATCCAGCCATCCCTCCGCTTGAGACATCTCTCCGCTTACCGACAGTGCTGGTCAGAAGTTGGTCGAAGGGCTGGGTGCGCTGCGCAGGTGAGTGGGCAAAGCTCGCGGGGAGTTGAGGTCCTTCCCCAGCGCAGCGTCACGAGCTCTTCGCGTACATTTGTAGACAGGGAATGCTTTGTTCAGTGGCCTGGGGTTTAGGATGCAAACTAAACACTCTTGATCTGACAATGGAAGTTAAATGGCATTAAGTCAAGGGATTAATTTTCAAATACTTGGATGTTTTAAAATCCTTGGCAGGGGATAGAAATAGCCAGCATGCACTTCAGAAAAGAATAAATGATCAATTCAAGCCCATTACATGGGAAACATCTAACAGTATTTTGTTTTTTGACTGTGGCTTTTTAGGGACATGCTGAATAACCCAAAAGTGCTAGAGACTGAGGTCCGTGGTTCCTGTATATAGCAGAAAAAATTATTTCCCCTTGGTAAAATTGGTGAAGCAGGTTGCAGCGTTATTGCTGTAGTCGAAATTGCCCAGTGCGATGGGCTGGAGGTCAACGTAGTAACATGGGGGGAAGCTTACTCATCTGCTTCATAACGGGGTCCTTCTCAGGGGTGCAAAAGCAAGCAGCAGGTAAGTTCTGTGGCAAAACATGAAGTAAGTTTGAGTATAATTATTGCAGCAATTAAAAAGGAGAAAGGAAAAAATAAAGCCTAATTACTGTAAATCTGCATTGAGTATTACAGTCCTGTATTACAGGAGTATTGAGATATATATCAATACTGATACACTGAGTATTACCGTATTGCAGTCCTCCGCTACTGGAGCCAGGCAGTGCCCCTGTAGCGTGCGGTGTGCAACTGGTGGGATTGCTGCAAGAGCTGCTGGATCAACGCCTGCCTGCACCTTGGTGCTAGTTCAGCCATTCTGACATCGTAACCCAGGTCCAGTTAACTGTACAGGAGAGGCTGGCGCTCCGATGAATTAGCGCTGCAGCTATACACAGCTTTGTCTCACCGCTCCTTCGTTCTGCATAGCACCGCCGTGCCTGAACTCCTGCTGGCTGTAGGCTCTGCCAGCGCACAGGTAAGTGACCGGTACCTTCGCTCCGGAGTCCTTGGTGTGAAACAGGTTGCCCTAACGCAGTTGGTCAGTGGTGCTTGTGTGGCCTGAGCTGCCCGAGCAGAAGCTGCACATGGATGTGGTGCAGACGCGATCCGGCCAGCGGCAAACTCCGTGGAGTGAGGTGAGGACACGGTTCTGAGCGAGCGTGGCTGAGGCGGGAGCTCACCAGCTTCCTACTGCTGAGGAGAAACTCATTCACTGCAGTTAAGCACAATTTTTCTGAAACAGTTTATGTGCCTGGCTGCCTTGGCACATTTGAGCCCGAGTTTGCGCAGGTGTCCTTACTGTAACTGGGGGTGATGCCAACAGTGGAAACACCCCGAAAATTCTGCTAACGCCAGGTAAGGCTGCCTGTCTTTAAAGTCAGAGTAGGAGGTGGTGACCTACAGTGGGCTTTACTAATTGTTAGATGCACGGCATTGGTTATGCTGTGTAGGAATTATTGTTGCCAATTGAACTTTGCCGTGTTCCTGGCTCCTGAAGCCAGGGGGACAAACTTTTTATGTTTTTGTCCTGCTGTGCTTGCAGGGAGGGGCAGGGGGAGGAGTTGTGTGAACCCTGAAGCCAGTTTCCACCGGCTGTGGTGATCTGGGGTACTAGTTTGAGGTGCTCCTGTTTGAAAGGGGTTGGACAGCTTTTGGCAGAGGCTGGCAGCATAAAAACTTAACAGAACTCAGTATATGAAAGAATAAACACACACAATGATTATATTTAATAATTGCTTATGTCTTTACACAAAGAGTTGCTGGTGTCATTTTACAAAGTACACTGATTGCAATGGCAACAAATACTTTTTACAGGGTAACATCTTCAGCTAAAAAGTGCTTGTCTTGGCAGCTGACTTCAGTCTGAGGGGCCTTCTGTGATACAGCCACTTATTTTAAGGGCTCCCAGTCAATGCACAAGGCTACAACTGGTTTAATAAGCTGTCAAACCAAAAAATGTGCATCTTGACTGCTTATCTTGGAGATTGAAATGATTAACACTAAGCAGCAACACTAATGTGTTTAAAGGCACTTCTTTTCTAATGGGGCCTAACTCTGGCTTACTTCTGAAGGTTTTTTTGCTTTCTTTGAAACACTGATGTTTGTAACAATAGCTTTTCAAGTCTGGAAAAGTTCAAACCTCACACATGGAGGCACCGGTCAGACTGATGATGTATCTGAGGTAAGCAGCTCTTCCAAAGACTCTGGCTTTCTAAATTCTACCTTAAATATTGATATTAGCGGAGGCTTATTTTTCAAAGCGGTGACTGTTGAACAGCTCAGTCCTGTGAGAAGAGGCTGCTGTAACAGAACTGGTAGGTAATTAAACAAGAGGCTTTCTTTTTATAGCACCACAAATAGCCTTTGGTTAATGCGTCAACTGTCTTACAGCTGACCTGCCACTGAAACTTTGAGGGACAGGTGTTAGTCTAAGTTGTATTGGGAATATTCCAGTTAGCAAACGTACTAAATAAAACCTAACATGTTCAAATTTGAAAACGTGATTAAATGGTATGCTAAATAAATTGCTGCCCTTCAGACTAGAGAATTGCACCATAATAGTGTGGCATTACCTGCCAGACTTGGCAAAAGGAGGATGGTTTGATTGCTGTGGTCCACTGTTAAACTCACTGAGTCCAGTTATGAACTGAGGTCCCAGATACCCCTGGGTGTGGAAGGCTGCCCAGAGCTCTGTTTCTGTAGGAAGAACTGCTCGTTCTGTCCTGGGAAAAGGGGATTATTTTTTAGAGATCAGCTTTACAGGAAGGACTGAAATTGAACTACACGATTACCGCAAATCTGATTCAACTGTACCCCCTCATTTAGAAAAAGCAGTGTTTTGTACTTTTTTCCTCTTCTGTATAGATTTTTAGCATCTTCCCTGGCTCTCATACAACTTAGGACTAGCAAAAGAAATAATTAAAAGAGTTTTCTAAATTATATTTTAATAAAAGCATACCATATGCTCTTAAGCACTGACAGTTTGAAATCTGGCAATTCACTGAGAGCGAGTCAGGACTCCTAGAAGATTAATACCTGAGTGCAGAACTTCCTATTCTACAGCTTGGTAAGTAAGTATGCTAAATACTGAGAGGTTGTGTGGAATGAGACTGTACAAAAAGAGCACAGAAAAGGTTCACTAAAGCACAGCAGAGTGCCCAGGTACGGCGGAGCCGTGGGCCAGCCTTGGGGCACCAACGACCGTCCCTCTCCCAACATAATAGAAACCAACAACTTATCCTTGAGTTTCCTTAGCTGAGCAGCTGGCAGATCTCTTTGTGAACGCAGCATAAGAAATCCACGTAAGATGCTCCTCCATAAATACTCTTGTCTTCTACTAGGAACTGTCGGAAAAGCATCTCTGGCTGCTCCCGTTGTTTCACTATAATCAGCTGAAAAGATGAGAGAGATGTATTTGTAGGATACAATCATCTAAATGGCTGTATGGTGTTCCCGTGTCTATTACTGTATGCTGGTGGTGGTGGGGGGGGGAACCCCCAAACAAATCACTCTCTGCATTTCAGTAGCTGTGTGAGAGACTCGTGTGAATGAAGGCTTGCTTGCAGAATAGAACAGTAACCTTGAGACTCTGAAAATTTCTTTTGATTAAGAATGAAGCACACGTGAGATGCCTGTGCCTACCGAAACTCACAGGAAAATTCCTGATACGTGAAACCTTGTACAGCTCTCAGTAAGCTTTGTCCAAGCCCGCAGTGTACAAGGAATGAGCTGAGGCAGAGAGCAGT